AACTGTCAAACACCAAGCGGTCACCGGTGACCGCAACCTATTGTTCTATAATTGTGTCTACAAAACCGATACTCGACGAGTTAAACTGTCAAACACCAAGCGGTCACCGGTGACCGCAACCTATTGTTCTTTAATTGTGTCTATAATGACGGTACTCAAAGGGTGTAAACAGTTTTCTATTGGCAGTCAAAGACTTAAGCAATATAAGGAGTGTTTTGGTAGGTTTTTCATACATCGGGTTACATTATCGAAATTTTCACACGATTCTTTTATTCCTCTCTTATTAAATATAGCCTATGTTCAGCATCGATAATGTGGGATTCTAACGGTAAAAGAATTTTTCAAATCGGTCCGGTAGTTTCGGAGGAAATTCCATTCAAACAAACAAACAAAAATTCATTATTTCCTTTTTATTTATACTATTAGTGTAGATTAGTAAGAATATCTGCTCCTACGCAGTTTCCTGCCGCTCCTTAAATCATTGTATTAACCGTAGCGTAATGTTTTACTGCCTATCCTACCTTCATAAATGCGCTTTTTATGCTGATGCTGGCTGATGGTAAGCAATCGGTGTCACCCATGGACACACGGAACACCAGAGGCGTTACAAGTGCGATACCGGCCTTTTGGGAATTAAGAATTTAAGGATTGTTGGGGATTCAAGGATTGGAGAGATTGTGGAAGGTGGAGATGGGGTGGGGGGTAACTGGGCCTCCTATAACCTCACTCACACGATGAATCACAACGCAAGGGTGGTTTTACTATGGTTTTCTGCACGGTATCACTCCGGTCAAGCCAGCCCAGCAGTGCCGATGCATGGCTCTCCCACACTTAATGAGTCCCTGTCAATCCAATTAAAGCTAGTACCTATGAAGTATGAAGTGAAAAAGTCGGCTTCCACTGTACCTACCTGGGAAGTATACTATTTTGGAGAATACAATGAAATGAGTCACTATCATAAGTACCAATTTGACTTTAAAAATATTCAAAATCATGTGATTACCAAGTATTTTCCTACAATAGGTATGATGACAGGGTATGAAAATTAAAAATCTAATTAGTCCTTAAGTTAGGTAATGAAAAAATATTAGACACGTATTTTTTTATTTTTTCGTATAAGACAACAACACTTAGATAAAACGAATCAAAGTTTAGGAGTGGGGGCTAAAACGTCATTTCTACGTATAAAATGTACTGTATTTTAATTTTGATACCCTGGAAACTACCCAATTCTTTCTGTGTTGGATAGTCTATTTATTGATGAAGGCTATATGCTATTAAACATCACGGTTATATCAATAGGAGCCAAACAGTGCGGGTAAAACCGCGCAACATAGCTAGCACTAAAAAAACTATGCTGATTGCACCACTGCTTACCCATTCAGATAGGAAAAGTCGTAATAAGTAATATAATACGTTACCTGTATTATGAAATTGGAAAATATTGAGGAAGTATTTATTTACTGTGGATTTAGTTCGCACGTAGCTCAATCAATTATAATTACAAATGAGTGTTTAAAATAATTAACTTTTAAAATAGTTCAAGCTTGATACAATTGGATTACGTATTGGCATGTATATATTATATTGTATAAATAGGAGGCTATGAGTGTAAAAGTGCTGCAGCGCAAACCGTGCATCACTGCATGGGTGCTCACTGAAAATCAGTGCTGGGTGACTTGTATGCCTGGCTTACACTGAGTGGGTGACCCTTTTAGCATAGGCATGTTGTCAGCGTCTCTCTTCTAATTCTTCTGTTTTAATTTTTCAACTCAATGTTTTTATTACTTCCACTGTCAAACCTTTATTGTCTTTTTTATATTTTATTTATGCTGCATCGTGCCTGGTGCTGAATAAATGTTTTTTTCTCAAACGATAGTAGTATTTACGGTGGCAGTCGACTTTGGTGTTTGACTGTACATACAATCCCGAGTACAGGGCCCGTCGTGATCCTCGCTCGACACAAAGAGCCATCAGACCACCACGAATGGGGCCCAATAGGCCTGATGCCGACACGGAGCCGCGAAGAACTTAACGGGTTGCCGGGGCTCCGGCTCGAAGTGCAGGTGTAGGAACGGGCTGGTCTTTAGTCAGTCAAGAGTCTGACACTCCCTCCCGCATCACCCGTAGGCGGGAGAAGTCATATCGATGACTTTTCCCCTTAAAAAAAACATACATACATACATACATAACTTCACGCCTGTCTCCCATGGGGGTAGGCAGAGACTAAGGAACGCCAATTACTACGATTCTTACATACCTCTTTCGCTTCATTAACAGTCATCAATCTTTTCATGAATGCTGGTCGGTTAAGGGTACTTTTAATTTGGCCCTTCTTTAATATATCGCCAATCTGGTCACTATATGTTCGTCTAGGGCGCCCTCTACCGACGGCCCCATTCATATCCGCTCTGTATACTTCTTTCGTTACTCTACTTTCATCCATCCTTTCTACATGTCCAAACCAGCGTAACATTCCCTTTTCAATCCTTGTCACTACATCATTTTTCAATCCACACCTTTCTCTAATAACACTATTTTTCACTCGATCATTCAATTTTAGTCCACACATACTTCTTAGGGCTCTCATTTCCACCGCATTAATCCTGCTTTCATGCTTCTTCTGCCACACCCATGATTCACTACCATACATAAGCGTTGGTGTCAATACACACTGCATTACAGCAAGTCGAGCTTACCTTAAAAAAAACATCTACACATAATCATACATATCATTAGTCGTGTTGGCCCGTAGGTTCAACACGCTTCTCCTCCATGCCCAAGTTCGAAACCTACCAACAGCAAGTACCAATGTGACATTTTCCGAGTTATATGTACTTTCTAAGATTATCTAGACACCACTGACAAACGGTGAAGGAAAACATCGTGAGGAAAGCGTTGTGTTGTGTTTCGTCGTGTGAGTGAGGTTACCGGAGGCCCAATTACCCCCTCCCTAATCTCCCTAATCTCCCGAATCCTCCACAATCCTAAAATTCCCAATTGCCAAAAGGCCGATAACGCACTTGTAACGCCTTGGTGTTTCGGGTGTCCATGGGCGGCGCCGCCGATTGCTTACCATCAGGTGATCCGTCAGCTTGTTTACCGGCTTATGCTATAAAAAATCAAACGGGACACATAAC